CGGGTGTTATATAATTTAGCTAATAATTATTAAAAACTTTGTGTTTAGTCTCTTCATAAAACATTTTACTTAGTCCCAATTTATTTTATTTTTTTAATTTAATTAAATTTTTTTTTTTTTTTTTTTTAAGCTTACAACTGCTTTCCTGCCTATTGGTTAGACAAACTATAGTGCAAACAAATAGCATCTGAGTATGGGCTATGAACACCCTGCTTTACTGTCGAGTCATTAGTTGTGCCCCAAATTACATAATATACATGTCTAGTTAAGTGTTTGAAGTATACTTTTTCTTGTTGGAATTTTCAGTGTGAACACGCTAGCTGCGCTATTTATACGACAAAACAGCACTGAATAGTGCGTAAGTATTGAAAATTTAAACACACCTACATTTTAAACATTGAACAAGACATTTCATTTCCGCAGGGAAATTTCCCATTTGCTGGCCAAATGGGTGCCATAAGCAGAATAGTATTGTTGTGCCCCCTCCTTCAAAAAAAAAAAAAAAACACCTACTATAAGGGGTCAAAATAGAACTTTAATAAAATATAAAAAGTAAATAAATAAATTGTAATTAAATTGTATTATTTATACATTACAATTGTAGCTCTAGACAGTTACCTATGGCTATGATTTTATTAATACCGTTGTCTGATTGATTTTAGTCTCAAGCATTCAGAAATCACACAAAATAAAATTAAGCAGTTTTACTATGATAAAACCATGGTTAATTTTGGTAAGGGTTGTGATGTCCACATGTTTTTGTTGAAGAAATTAAAGAGGGTGTAGCATTTCTATCACAAAAAGGTGGCCAAAAATGTAAAGTTAAGTGGATATTTGAATTAAATGTTTGGTCAATATTAAACAAGGATTTGATCGTCCTGCAAGTGTAACAACAGCAATTACCAGGCCTTTGGTGCCCTTTGCAGGCATTTGTAATAATGCAAATTGTTTATTTTGCATTGCATTATGTATGAATTAAAGTGTTTTTTTGTTTTTTTTTTTTTAGCAACTGGGATGGTGCCCCACACAAACTGCGTACAGGGAGCCGCGGTACTGCATTTCCGTTTACAATTAAATAATCTGGAACATTATATTTCTGAACAAATTAAATAAACTGGGACATAGGCCTACCGTTCATAAAGTAAAAAAAACTGGGAAATGTTTGTTTCACGATCAACCAAATTTACTAGGAATTTTTTCGCTTGTGAACCAATCAAATTAATTGGGACATTGTGTTTGTCTTTTTTTTTTTTTATCTGATGACTTCTCAGCCCCCTGTGGCATGATAGAATAGTGAAGTAATTGCCATGTTTAAGCAGTAAAGTATTTTTTGGCGAGTAAAGCATTTTTGTTTAATAAATATTGTGTATTCACCATTCTACTACATTTTGCATACTATGTTGGCCTAGTAGAGAAGCGGGGACTCACTTCTCGCCACCTACTGGCACATTAAAACTAGAATATTAAGTCAGATGCGTTGTTCGTGGTGGTAAAATTATTACCGATATTAAAACACGTTACTAACGTCAACAGTCAAAAAAGTTTCACAGGATTTTTTTTATCTGATGACTTCTCAGCCCCCTGTGGCATGATAGAATAGTGAAGTAATTGCCATGTTTAAGCAGTAAAGTATTTTTTGGCGAGTAAAGCATTTTTGTTTAATAAATATTGTGTATTCACCATTCTACTACATTTTGCATACTATGTTGGCCTAGTAGAGAAGCGGGGACTCACTTCTCGCCACCTACTGGCGGAACGATGTATCCTGCACAAAGAGTCGCTGAACAAATCAGAACAAACCTTTGGTGAAAGGATTCAAACGATTCGAATCACTGAGATTAAACAAATGTGCTTGCGTATTCTTGATTGGGACATGAACATACATTATTATGCACAGACTGCCAAAACACATGAGGAAAGCATCAGTCTTCCTGACCTCTATTCGACATCCCACTGTTCTCTTAAAGCACTCAAGTCAAAAATAAGCACCTGATTTGTAGGCCAAGGCAAAAACAGGACTTTCCATTTCTAATATAAGCCTAAATATGAGCCATGTAAGGTTAAGCGTATGTTTAAAGACATCAAACGCGTTAAATTGTGTCTGTCACCGTGTGTGAACGCACCTCACATCTCTAATAGCAGCTGTCAACATTAATAGCCAAGGCTTGAAATTCATTTTCTATTCGCGTCCGCGCAGACAGTAGTGCAGGTCGGGACACACACTGCGTCAAAAAAGTTACACGTTACGATACAGAAATCCAAATCTAACACGGGATATCTGAAAGGCGAACATGAGCTTCATAACCGAAGCCCTTAACACAGTCCCACACCGGACTGAGTCTTGCTTGCTTGCTTATTCGGCAAAAACGTGCGGGGGGACAAACGTTTTCAAGGTTAAGCCCAAAGAAAACTGCTTTCTGTAAGTATTAAACTATTTAGACTCTGGCTTGTAACCGAGCCAAATTCCCTCAAAGTCTGCTGTATTGTTCTCAGAGAAAGCGACTTTTCCTGTTTGAAAACTCACACAATATTCTTGGGTACGTCTGGTGTACGTGGCGAGGAATTGAAATCGGTTTGACATTTCGATGCTGGCGCGCAACAAATAACGTGCAAATCGAGCTTAAATGCTGTAAACGTCAACTTTATTTCGCTACATAGTGTGATGCTGCTGACGTAGAACGTCTCAAACAGAATACAGAGGCAATCTCTGGTTCAGCCCCCTAAAAATGAGAACATACTCTGTTATGTTTTAGTTACCGCTCGGCTAATAAACATCCGCCGTTTGGAAAGTCCCGGTTAAGTTTTCTACGACGCTATCATTCTAGCATCTGCCACAAAATAGCTCGACTAAAATCGCCGCAGTCCGGCTTATCGAGCTTCTCCGCTGCAGCGAACAGGAGGGGGAGGAGGGTGACAAAGTTGCCGCAGTTTAGAGTTGTGTCTACGGGGCAAGATTCCACTATTCACCTCCCCTTCCACTAAACTAGCCCCGCTTCGGTTTTAAATATGAGCCATGTAAGGTTAGGCGTATGTTTAAAGACATCAAACGCGTTTAATTGTGCCTGTCACTGTCTGTGAACGCATCTCGCATCTCTTAATAGCGGCTATCAACATTAATAGCCACTGCTTGAAATACATATTCTATTCGCGTCCGCGTCCGACAGTAACGTTAGTGCAGGTCAGGACTCATACTGCGTCAAAAAAGCTACACGTTACGATCCAGAAATCCAAATTTAACACGGAATATCTGACAGTCGAACATGAGCTTCATAACCGAAGCCCTTAACATAGTCCCACACAAGAATGAGTCTTGTTTGCTTATTCGGCAGAAACGTGCGAAAAAACGCTTTCAAGGTTAAGCACGTAGAAAACTGCTAAACTTTCTGTAAGAATGACGCTATTTAGACCCTGGCTTGTAACCGACCCAAATTCCCTCAAAGTCTGCGGTATGTTCACAGAGAAAGCGACTTTTCCTGTTTGAAAACTCACTATATTCTTGGGAACGTCTAGTGTACGTGGCGAGGAATTTAATTCGGTTTGACATTTCAGTGCTCGCGCGCAACATATAAAGTGCAAATCGAGCTTAAATGACGTAAACGTAAACTTTATTTCGCTACATAGTGCGATGCTGCCGACGCAGAAAGCCTCAATCAAGAGGGAATCTCTGGTAAAGCCCCCTAAAAATCAGAACATACTCGATGATGTTCGAGTATTTGTTACCGCTCGGCTACTAAACATCCGCCGTTTGGAAAGGCCCGGATAAGTTTACTCTCGCATCTCTACGGCGCTATCATTCCGACATCAGCCACAAAATAGCTCGACTAAAATCGCCGCAGTCCGGCTTATCGAGCTCATCCGCTGCAGAGAACAGGAGGGGGAGGAGGGTGGCAAAGTTGCCGCAGTTTGGAGTTGTGTCTAGGGGGCAAGATTCCACCATTCAGCTCCCCTTCCACTAAACTAGCTTAATAGCCCCGCTTCGGGTTTCTCTTACCTTGAGCACCGGGAGAAGAACGGTGACAATTTTTTCGGAGGTAGCTCTCTGGAAAGGTAAACTACTCAGTCGCGTTTGACTTTTTGAGGTTGAACAGAGCAGCTCTCAGCAGGGTCCTCGCTAGTTCCTTCTCTCACCCCCTCCCTTGCGCCGCAAGATCAAACCATCACATTCCTTCTCGAGATCCAAACAATGAAAAAGGTGGGTTTTCCTTTGCCAAGAAAGACCAACCCCTAGAACGGCTACGCCGCCTGTGACCGCAGAAAGAACGCCCTGCGCGGCAAAACGGTCCCGCCTTCCCCGATGAGGGAAAGAGCGACGGGTCAGACAAGCGCTGAGCTCTAGAGGAAGATTGAAGAATAACTAACTGGAAGCCCAGTTCACAAATAGAGCAATACTTTTTTTTTTTTTTTTAGCACAACAGTTAATAAAGGTGCTAAAAAAAGTAACATAAAATTTTATACAAATCAAATAAAATGTATATTTGTAGTAAAAAATGATGTATAGTGGATAACACAAAAAGGGAGGCTAAATAAAAACAACATGACAACGGCGATATTCTCTGTATTGAATGAATGTGACGTCACTGCACAGGTGAGCAATAATCCATTCCACTGTCAGGCAATAGCATAAGCATTAATAACAATAACATTTACGTTTCTTGTAGCATACAAGTAGTTTATATGATTCTAAATTATTGAAACTTTTTTTTTCACTAAAATGTTTTAATGATAAATAATTAAATTAAATTATAATTACATTAATTAGTGCACCATGCCAGATAAATATATTAACATAACCACCCAGGCATAATGTTACGACAACAACCACAATAATAATAATTATTAGGCTATTACATTTAACTTTACTCAAAGTCATATCTTCAATATTACCTGTTTTGTGTAAAAATGTATATTTGTTGTGCTTGCAAAGCAAAGAAAATGTATTTGTAAGGCAACAGTACAGAGGGCTAAAATAAACATATTTCCATTAACAGATAGCCTATAGAATGGCATGATATTAGATGTCTCACTTAAACACTTTTACAAAAGTAGTGGTCAGAAATAGTTCAAGCGCTGCTGAAAAGGCAGCAGTCCAATAGAATGTTGACTTTCTTTGGGTTTCAAAAGCAGGATATGAACCAGCATCTGATTGCTGGTTTACAGCCTCAGCCCACAAGCTACCACCAAATCACAAACACCATTATATTTTTAGCACCAACACTGTTTTAGGTTGCATTCTTTTTACACTTCTTCATTAGAGTAATTACAAAGCAATGCATTGCGGTTTCTCATTAGAAAACCAACTTTTTTGGTAGATGTTGAGATGAGAGAAGGAGTGACAGTATTATTTTCAATGGTGAATTCAGTGCAACATTTATATCCACTACAAATGCACACAGTCTGGTTTTTGGTCCAAAAAGAACTGAAAACATTTAATTCTGAGAGCAAGAGTATGTTAGTGTGGTGGCCAAGTTTCATCTTAGTTCTGCAATTTACTATTTAAGTATTTAGTAAACTCAGTGAACCAGGCACATTTAGTATTATTATAACATGAAAAGTGTATATAAACAAGTAAAAGCTGCCCACCATGGTAAGGCAAACACCCTCAGCCTGTAGTCCATAACCAGACTCTAAACTGTCATGGCTGGAATTTATAGGTCCATGTACTGTATATGGACTGACAACTAGAATAATGAATAGGGTTTTGTTCTCTGTTTATTTCTTTGTTTGTTTGTTTTTTTCTTTATTTCTTTTTGTTTCTTTGAAATAAGATAAGAGTCACTCAAGTCATGGCAAATGTTTATGTATGAAGTCAGTAGACATCAATGAACCAGGCTCACTTCATTACAATCCAAGCTTCATATATATACTCTGTTCATGGCAGTTAAAATTACTCTTTCTCTAGGTGGCAGTGATCCTGAATAAGCACATGGCAGGAATAAAATTCTAAAAACAGCCTAGTGGCCTCTGAGTGGCTGAAGTGTAACCAGCCGATAGTTACACCTGCCGTAGTCAAGGATAATCTTCACTGACTTTGATTTGCCTGTTTTAGGAAAATTATGCTGTTTTATTAGCCTCTATGTATTTGTCAAATGACAGCATTTTTATATCTATATTGTATGAAATTATATCTCTAACTGCCTTTACTTCATGTTGCAAGCATCAGACATTAGGTTTGCAGGGATGCCTTATAGGATACAACAATAATCAGTGATGACTACTTCAGAAAGGTTTGAACTAAGTTTGAAATAAATTACTAGCAAAATATGTATCTATGAAGATAATATAGCAATATTTTCTATTGCTTTTTCCATATGCACATCTGAACACCTTTATTTTTGGTTATGAGTTTGAATGTCAAGGAATTAAGCACAAGTGGCTTTCAGATCTCTCACTCCTACACAAGCTGTCATCAGTTAAATCAAACAAAGTCCTTCACTCTTTAATAATTTTTGTATAAGGCCACTGCATGTCACAGCAGGAAAAGCTGTAGGTGGGGAGAACACCACAAGCTCACACTGTTTGGTGAACGGTGAGCTAAATATATGGGAAAATATGCTCTTACATAACATTCTAGACACTGTTTCATATGACCACCCCAGTTATTTAGGTTATTGCCTTGCACAGAAGAATATACACAGTTAGCATGTTTTATGCTTTGCTTGCAAGGTGGAATTACTGTGTATAAATAAAATGAACGATGTAAGGACATCACAAACAAAATTTTTTTTTTTTTTTACATAATTGTAAATATTTTTTTCAGTGCATTCATTTGTATCCCAAAAAATCTGTTAAATCATTCTGATGTTAAATCATTTAAAAGTACAGCCTCAGCCATGAAAAGCATGGCATGCTGGGGCATGCTCAGGTATCAGTGTGTCACAACGGGACAGAGAGGTTTTGAGTATTCTGTCTCTTTCTCTCTTTCTCTTGTGCTAGTATATTTTTCAATCTCTCCCACATTCAAATGCAGGGTTTCAGAAGCTAGGAGAAGAGATTTATATTGAGCAAAATATAATCATGCTTCATCTCATTTTTATTATTTTTTTACTTAGGCACTTATACAAATTGTTTTATCTTTAGTGCAGAGTTGTGAATAATCCATAATACCTGAATTGTAAATATTTTTTTCAGTGCATTCATTTGTATCCCAAAAATTCTGTTAAATAATTCTGATGTTAAATCATTTAAAAGTACAGCCTCAGCCATGTGAAATGCATGCTACAAAAGCATGGCATGCTGGGGCATGCTCAGGTATCAGTGTGTCACAACAGGACAGAGAGGTTTTGAGTATTCTGTCTCTTTCTCTCTTTCTCTTGTGCTGGTATATTTTTCAATCTCTCCCACATTCAAATGCAGGGTTGCAGAAGCTAGGAGAAGAGATTTATATTGAGCAAAATATAATCATGCTTCATCTCATTTTTATTATTTTTTTACTTAGGCACTTATACAAATTGTTTTATCTTTAGTGCAGAGTTGTGAATAATCCATAATACCTGAAAACTCGGAGAAGCCTCTAGGCATATTAACACTCTCAGCCAATTAGAATCTAGAGTGAGAACAGACATAAGACGCTTCGTCATGTCTTTCTCTATTGTCAAAGGCGCAGTCCCGAGACATTAACAAACCATGTTGTTATGTCATCTAACTGCGAGGAGATGTACAGTATGCAGTGAAAGGTGTTTCAGCTAATTTTGGTATGTGGCTCAGTCTATCCTTTGGGCTGCAGGCCAACATTCCCCATGGGTGCATTTGCCCCATCTCTTTCCCAGATTCCATCTGCAGGACCTGCCCTCTGTAAGGAATGATTGAAGTTTTAAGAAATGCGATGAAAATTATGGTGTGTTGTCCAGACAGAGTGCATTTTAAAAGTAATCACTCAAAAGTGATATAGTTCCTGAGTTATGTGGAATTCCAATTTTTTTTACTAATAAAACGATTGCGAGTGAGATACAGAATGTTGCTGATATTGAGTAACTTGCATTAACCTTTTGAATCAAAA